CATTGACTATGCTAAAGCCTTTGATTCTGTGGATCACAACAAATTGTGGCAAGTTCTTAAAGAGATGGGAGTACCAGACCATCTTATTTGTCTCTTGAGAAACCTGTTTGTGGGTCAAGAAGCAACAGTGAGAACTGGACACGGAACCACTGATTGGTTCCAAATTGAGAAAGTAGTTCGACAAGGCTGTATGTTGTCGCCCTGCCTATTTAACTTTGCATATGAGTACATCATGGGAAAGGCGGGGCTGGATGAATCACCAGTTGAAATTAAGATTGCCGGGAGAAATATCAACAGCCTCAGATATGCAGATGATACCACTCTAATTGCAGAAATTGGAGATGAACTAAAGAGCCTCTTGATGCGGGTGAAGGAGCAGAGCACTAAAGTTGGCTTGAGACCGAAGCATTTTTTTCACTGCATCTGCAGTTTGAACTTAGAAGCATCGTTCAACCATTGCAACGACCTTATCTAGATTTTAGTGTTCAAACTCTGGAAGTTTGAGCCAGTGCTGTAAATCCAAAATAAGGAAAATAGAAGTAATAAATACTAATTAATATATACATATATATAAACCCAAGGGTAAAATATAAACCATTAAAATTAATGAACAAGCATCTCTCTTTAAAATCACAGATCGCATTTTTCATCCTCCACAGAGTAATCAAGACACAGGAGGCTCCATCCCTGCGATCTTCAGAGCATTCTGGTAACAAGCAGGAGTGGCAAGAACAGATCAAACGGCATCCCGTTCCAGCGGGGGAGGAACGCATCTGCCGCCAGGCCTGAGCCAGGCCTGGCTCACAGGAGAAGTTGTCGCAGTCGCACCGAGTTGTTCTCAGTGGCAAAACAATTAATCACGGATGCACCCGGACCCGGAAGATCCGCAACCGTGACTGGCTCTAGCTCCCACCCACGCATCCCTCTGGACCGACCACCCGTTCAGGGAGCTCCTTGAGGCGGAAGAGCCAGGAGGGCCCTGGACTCTCAGTCCACCATTCCCATGTCTGCATAGTGAGGCGTGTGCTGAGAGGGGGGCTTCTCCTCAGGAACAAACGCACTTCTCCAATCAACGCTCTTGTCGCCCAGAGCGAATTGCTGAGCCCTCCTGAACAGCCGTTTGTTCCCTTGCTTCGTTGTAACCCCTTCGGTGCCTCGCTCCCAAGGGCCGAGCACTGTGAAGTCTGCCCCCGAGTCCTCCCCACGCCAGCACAACAGACCTCCCACTGGTGCTATCGCCTGGAAACCTCCACCTCAGGAGGGGAACGTTCGCGTTGTCGAACTACCGAGCCCCCTGTCCCCACGTCCCTGCTGCGAGGCGTGTCTGGCTGCCAGCTTCTCCTCCCGCAGACATCCCCTGGCCTTGGTCTACTGCCTGGACATGTCGCGATTCCACAACACTCTCATCCTCACTGTCTGAGCTTGAACCAGGCAGCTGCTCACGCACCACCAGGAACACTGGCACAGTGCACATGTGTGGGGGCCAGCGTGGGGCACTGGGTGCCTCCGCGTGTTTCTGCGGGAAAACACAGCGCTGTGGCCTGTGGTGACCTGTGGTGGCGTGCCTGGAAGGCAGCCGGAGCCTTCTCGACCGCAAGCAGCTGGTGGTGCTTTCTCTCCGTGCTCCTTTCTGCCTCGAGCCGTCCACACCCCATGGGCCTCGCTGGTGCTGCAGCGGACCTCCCCGAATGTCCGTGCCAGTGGCATCAAGCTGCTTCCCTCTGCTAGGCTGGCCTGAACGGGACGCTGGGCCAGGCGCCATCTCACGGAGTGTGGGAATGAGAGGCATCCTGGACCGAGTCGAGCTGCAGGGGGCAGGCGTGAACGAGCCTGAGGGGGAGCAGCCACACCCGGGCCTGGCGAATGGCTTGGCAGTGACCGTCACCGCCGCAAGCCCGAGGAGGCGCCGCACCTGCCGCACCAGTGCTGGGCGCTGCCTGGATCCTCAAAGACAGATCGGCGAAGGCCGCCACTCTGCCAGCCTGCAGGTGACCCCGCGCCAGCAATGACTCGAGTCTCACTCCAATGCAGAGACTTGACTAGGAAAGAGGACGTATAGATTCTGCAAAGTTAAGGCTGAGACCGGGTCTAGGAGGTCACAGGTAAGATGAACCAAATCCAGGAGCAAAGCAACCAGCAGCCAGTCATCCAGGGAGGGAAAACACCTTGCGACTGGAGACGGGTGCCGACGACGGCCGTACGCTTGGTGAAGACATGAGGGACGGTGCCCGAGACGAACAGGAGAAGCAAGAATGGATATGCAATCAAACTGATCAGGAGCTGAAGGAAGTGCTGGCAGGTCTGGCGGCTGAATTGTGATGTGAAAATAAGGGTCTTTTAAGGCTACTGGGGCAACTGCTGGGGGCGCTACTGGTTAACGGTTCTGCAAAGGAAACCATGTGAAATGTCTTCTGTGGAATGAAGGAGTCGATGTCTTGGAAACTGAGGAGTGAGAAACTGCTGTCCTCCTTCGGCTCGGTGGAGTCATGAGTGAAACGCACGGTCAAAGAGGAGCAGGAAGGACAGCCCCTTTCAACAGCAACACGGCCACCCCCTCCAACAGGACAGGGGGCAGTGTTGTTGGCTGCATGGAACCGAGAGGCGGCACAGTCTGGAATTCCGTCCTGTATCCACTCTCCACCATGGGGTGGACCCACATACCTGATGCTGTGGCTTCCCAAGCAGATCGGTGGCAACACAGTCATTGAGTCAGATCTGCATGGGGGGACTGGCAGGCTGCGCTGGCCAGCACACCGCTTCTGCCCCTGGAACGGGGGGGCTGCATCGCCCTGTCTCCACTGAGCTGGCAGCTGCTGCTGGTCCTGGCCCCCAGGTGGCAAGGGAAGGGCCTGCAGCCCACTTAGGCGCCCACTCCTGCCGCTGAAGAGGCAGTGCAGTCGCGTAGCGTGGGCAGGAACAGTATCGGCACTGGGATCACATCCCCTCTTAGGATGGCTCCCAAGACGGAACCACTGCTTTCCCCACGTGTCGCTGCATCTCTAGTCCCAGGGACAGTCCCATACAAAGGATCTGCTTGCAGAAGCATCCCAGGTCTTCAGAAGGAGATCCTGGGCCCTGCCTGTAACAATCACATCATCCGGCAGGGAGTCAGCGGATCATCACATGGAGCCGAGCTGGAATCAGACATGCGGTCTTCTGGCAGCAACGATAAGGAGTCGTACCTCAGTGGTAAGACAGGTAAAGAGGATGAGGCACGGACATCCTGCTCCACTCCCCAGAAGGACGGGCCCGCCTTTCCCTTGGGTGTGCCTAAACGTGGGTTTAGGAAGGAGGCGGTTCTGTGGCCCTGAAAGACAAGGCTCTGTCGGTGCCAGTTTGCACCCAGCAGAATGGGATCAGTTGGGAAGCTGTTCTTTCCTTGGGGCTCCACTTCATGGACTTTGTGCATAGAGCTTTTCCTGCAGAATAAAGCTTTGTCTGCCTCACACCCCAGAGCGCTTGATGGGCTACTGCGCACGCCAGGACCAAATCCCACTTTTGTGGAGAACAGTTTTGGCACCTAATGCGGGGCCGCCTTGTCTTGGTTCCATCGGGCAGCAGTCCTGCAGTGACCAATGCCAGACGCCTGGCCAGCTGCATCCGTGGCCCGTGAACCAGCTCTGCTCCCACTGCGGCCAATGCTGTGATGGGGTGGGCATCCACGCCATCTCTTGGTCCCCAGCAGGCCATGGGAACCCGGGGCGCGCATGTGGCCAAGGGCTGGAAGCACAAGATGGTGCAGCTGAAAGGCCAGTGGCTCCGTGTGGACAACTGCGGAGCACCGCTCCCCCACCGCCGCCACAGGCAGCACCCGATCACTGGCAGCCCAAGTTACCCTTCCGGAGGCTGGGGGCCCCACTGTGGGCAGCTGCAACTGGCACATCCCTGTGAGACAGCCCAAGGGGGGGGGCATCCTTCCACTTGGCACATGGATCGGGGAGAGAACTGGGAGTGCACTTTTCATTGGACCCTAGTGCCAATCAGCGGCTGGTTTGTTGGCAGAACGATTTTGCTGCCATTTACAAAGCTGCTCCCCGATTGGGTGACAAGAGGGACTTGTCTCAAGAGGGGACGAGATGAGGGGAAGCACTGATGCACCCCCCTTGTTGCAGGGAGGCAGAAGACGCCGTGGGGCTGGCCAGGGCACTGCGGGAAGGACCCTAAGCAGGGCCTCACTGCGCTCTGCTCACTGGGGCCTCGGCTGCCTCGTGGACAGCCGGCCAGCAGAAGGCTGACCGAGGGGGCTGTGGCACCGTGCCCAGAAGGCCTGCCATTGGGGGGCTCCTTGGGATCCAGACTTGAGCTTCCAAGGGCAGGCCCCGATGACACCAAGAGGCGCCTGTGTGTACGGTGCCCATTATTTATTTCAGAAGCAGCAACCTCTCTTCTGCTAAGGACTTGTGTTGTTATATTTTATGGTTTTAATTGCTGCAAAGTGCCCAGAGTGCCTTGGCATAAAAATTAAAGGAAGAAATCAATGGTGGCAGAGGGCAGGGCAGAAATGGGTAGGCCGCCATTTCCCCTGCCACTCTTTTCCTTCTTCCTTCCTGTCAGGAAAGGGACAGGCTGCTCTTGCCAGAAGCCTGAATGGATCACATGCAGAGGTTTCTGAAACTAGGCAGAGCAGTAAACAAGAAATAAGCACCCAAATATGCCACAAAAACGGGTAAAAAACATTGCTATGACATCAGATTGCTAGCCCTGCTGCTTGACATGTCTGAGCAGACCGCAGCCCCCCCCCACCCGCCCACCTGGAGTAGTGCAATGTGCTCGGTGCGCAGAGCGGCCTGTGCACATGCAACAGGGCCAGGGGCAGCCGCCACACTGCCAAGCACAGCCGGTGGCAGGAACGCAAGCGCACTGCTGCCCGGCGCAATGCAGACGGCTGCTCGCACCCTCCGAAGCACTGGAAGGCCCTCTTCTCACACAAGTGCAGCCTCGCCTGGAGAGGCTCCTCTCCACCCCGCCACTGGCCGACGACACGCAGGCCCGGGAGGGACTTTCTGCTCTCATGACCCTTCAAAGCTCCCACAAGACCCTCGAGAGCAAAGAAGCCCCCAGAAAAAGGACTCCTCAGCACCCCTAACATGCAGAGGAAAGGGGAGCCTGGGAGCTCCCACAGTTTAACCTGCACAAGCTTTGCCCCACGCTCAAAGAGAAAGAAACTGTGGAATGGTAGAGAAGGGAAGCACTCCTGGTGGAAAGCTACCTCACTAAACACCCGCACCCCCCCACCCTCCCTCCCTCTCACACACACATCTGTCTACCAGCAGACGGGCAGAATGAATGCAAAATGACAGCGACAGAAGCTGTCCCACCCCACCCCACCCTGCTCTCATTCTCAGGAGAGCTGGAACAGCTTCCCCACCTGGAATCTTTGCGGGCCTTAGGAATTCTGTTGTTTGCAAATATTAGAAACATAGAAACAGAGCGAGTCAGAAGGGGCCTCCCGGGCCATCTAGTCTGGCCTCCGGCTCCAGCCAGCTCCGCTCACGACATGCCCACCATGTGCACGTCCAGCCTATCCTAGAACACCCGCACCGATGGGGCCTCAACCACCTCCCGTGGAAGCCCATTGCACACCCTCGGGGTCCTGACTGTCAGGAAGTGCTTTCTGGCATCCAAATGGAACCTTGGCTCCCTGAGCTTTGCTCCATTGGAGCGCATCCTGCCTTCCTCTGCAGGGGAGAACAGGTCTCTACCCTCTCCGTGTGACATCTCCTGACATACCTGTATGTCGCCAACATATCCCCTGAGTCGCCTCTTCTCCAGGCCGAAGAGACCCAGTTTCCTCAGTCTCGCCTCAGTCTTTAATAAGCAGTCCCTTATTAAAATATTGACTCTGAGAATGACGAAGGCCTACACCTCACACAAGAACAGCGTGGTGCTTGATGAAAACTGGATTCTTCACAGGCCTCAAGATTCAGCGCCTCCAGCATCCACAGATGTAAACCACTTTTAAAGAGAGATGTAGGCATCCCAAATGTCCCCACTGCCTTCCAAAGACTGTCTAAATACATCTAAGTTTTTGGGTTCCAGGCCACTTAAAATGAACTGACGGGCGGAAACCCAAGACAGAAATGAACGATCATCCTAAAGACAAAATCATCCAGCAAGACCTCCACTCAGCCACAAGCACCTTCCCACCACTGTCTTTCGGTGCTCACTCATCTCCTGGCCCACGTAGAGCTGATGAGCTCTCCACTGCAGGGTTACCTGGGCCGAGGGCCAAACAGGCCTAGAGCACCTCCAGGTGCCACATTCACATGCCCCCAGGAAAGCAGGGGTCAAGTTCAAAAACACCCAAGGCAAACACGCACATCCCAGGCAGAACTGGGCATGCTCCTCTGTGGAGACCCATTCAGGCAGTCACCAATCCGCAGGCATCAAGCCATGCAAACACGTCCACCAATGTGGGCACAAGCACATAAGGGCTTCTCTGTGAGGCGCACGGCACCTGCTCGTCACTCCAAGCACACTGCACAGAGGACAGGACAGGGGGACGTCCTCTAGAGGACGTGGCCAAACAGCAGCAGAGCCAAGCTGCCTTGCGCAGGAGCGTCAGCGTGTGCCCCAGACCTCTGGAAGGCGCCGGCTTCTGCACAGGCTTGGAGAGCATTTGCTGCTAGGCTGGGGTTCCAACAGCTCCCGTTCCCGGAAACGTCTCCTTGGCCTACGGCAACACGTACTCCACTTACATCCTTCTGGATCGCTGCAACACTGTCTATGGGGAACCACCTCTGAAAACTTCAGAATGCCAACCAGCTCCGAATGCTGGGGCCAGACTGTGGGCAAGCTGGCAGGCAGGTCACCGAGCTCCTTGCTGCAACAGTTTCACCGCCTCTTTCCAGGCACAGTCAGAGTGCTGCTTATGAACTCTCTGACTCGAGCTCCAGGAACCCACAGGGCTGCTCAAGGTTTCGGCTCTTAAGAGGCTGCCTTTTCCTGAGGCCTCCCCACCAGAGGGGCACCGAGGATGGGCAGGACCTTCAGAGAGGACTCCCAGGCTGAGCACAGCCCCTGCACTGCCACCTTCCACCGGCAGGCACTCATCTTTAAGGGAAGTGGGCAGCTCTGCTGCTGGAAATGATTGCTTTTCATTACTGTTCCAATTAATCTTAGCTTTATTATCAGTGGCCAGTTGGCACATCACCTTTGAGCAGGACACAAACCAAATCAAATCATCTCCAGCCAAAGCGAGTGCCTGCAAGGGGGAGCAGAAACCCTGCGCACAGCGTCGCATGGATGCATTTGGACCAGGCCCCTGTGGAAAGCACGTGGCAGATGGGGGAGGCCAGATCCCCCCCCCCCGCACCCAGGCCCAGAGCTCTGGCAAGCGGAACCAACCCTCCTTTCCAAGAAAACCAAGAGGCAGCCCCCCCAACCACCCCCCGTGAGCCAGGCTGGCCGAGGTATGCCGGACACTGGAGTCCAATGCACCCAGCAGGCTGCCAGCTGCGGAAAGCTGCCAGGGGGGCCTACGGGGAAGGGGCATCCTCCTCTGCTCCAGAGCAAGAGCGCAACGTGACCGGGTCGGGCTGAAGAGGCCCAGGGCGGTCAGTGGCCCAGCCAGGCACCCTGCGCACCCCTTTCCTGGCGGGGCAGGCAGCCCCCCATTCTGGTCTCAGCCAGGCTGGCCTCTGCATAGGCCCCCTTCCCAAGAGGACCTGGAACAGACCCCGACCAGCCCACCTCCACCCTCCTCTCAGGGCAGAGGCCGTTGCACGGGGGCTCAGGAAAGAACGCCCGTTGTATTCCCCCCCAGCCCTCCTGTTCCCAAGAGTCCCACCTGAGTCACCATGGAAGCAGCTGTCCGGGCTGGGCCGGGGCGCAGGCAGGTCACTCTCGCAGGCCCAGATCTTGGGGATCCCCGCCACAGCAACCTCGGGCGCCCCGACCTGCTGCTGCTGCCGCCGCCGCTGTTGCGACTGGGGCGTCGGGGGGCTGCTGCCACTGTCGAAGGACTGCTGCGAGGGGGAGCGGCTCTTGGCCCGGTAGAGGCGGCAGGTGGACGTGGGGCTGGGCGACACGTGGCTGGACTGGCCCGACGAAAAGTCCTCCTCGCTCGACGTGAGATTCTCGTTAGAGCTGCAGTCCGGCGTGTACCCGCCGCCGCCGCCGTCCTCGAAGCTGCCGGCGGGCGGAGAGTAGGAGCAGCGCGGCCACGTGAGGCTGGTCTCGGCGGCGCCCTGGCGCAGGAGCGCGGCGCCCCTGCCGCCCCCGGGGGGGTCTCCCTCAACCGGAACGGCCGCGCGCGCGGCCGCGCCGCCCCCGAGGGCGCCCTGGCAGGGCGGGGAGTCCGGCGGCCCCGGCCAGGCGTCGGGCGGCGGCAGCGGCAGCAGGTGCTCCCGGAGGAAGCGCGCGTTCAGCTCGGCGTCCTCATAGTCGGCGTCGCCCTCGGCCGAGCGGCCCCGCGGCGGCGCGGGCAGCCGCCTGCGCGCCTCCAGCTGCATGGCCTGGCTGCCCAGCGAGCTGATGTGCCGCGGCACCTCCTTGTCGTTGACCTTCACCAGCCCCTTCTCATGGTGGTACTCCAGGTTGGCGTACAGCGGCTTCTCCGCGGCGGCCTGGGGCGGCGCGGGCCTCCTCGCGCGCTCGAAGCCGGAGCGCGGCGCCGCCCCGCCGCCCCGCTCCTGGCGCGCCAGGTCGCGGGCGCCCTCCTTCTCCGCGCCGGCGCTCAGGAGGCGGCGACGGCGGCCGCTGCTGCCCCCGCCGCCACCGGCCCCGGGGCCCTGGCGGGCCTTGGCCGAGGAGCCCAGCCCCGCTTCCCTCGGCAGCCTCTCGTCCGCCGCCGCGAGCGTGCCGCGCTCCTGCTCGCCGCCGCCGTCGCCGAGCGCGGGGTGATCGGCTTCCGAGCAGTCGCCGTGCGCCGAGAGCTTGCGCAGGGCCGGCGGCCGGGGGCGCGGGGGCTTGTCGCTCGGCGGCGGCCTGGCGTGTGCGGGAGGCTCGGCGGCCGCCTCCTCGCTGTCGCCGCGGTCGTGGTCCTCGCCCCCGCCCGCCTGGTCGTCGGGGGCGCCGCGCGAAGCGCGCTCGAAGCCCCAGCGCTGCCGGTCGTAGCTCTTCCTCTCCTTCGCCAGCAGCGTCTGCAGGTAGATCATGCGGAAGCGCTCCTTGTTCACCTCCAGCTCGAGGCTGCGGATGGACGCCTTGCAGCACTCCAGCTCCGCCTCGATGTCGCTCACGGAGCGCAGCGCCATCTGGGGCGGCTCCGAGTCGGCGAACTGGGCGCGCCACGCCTCGGCGAAGCCCACCGGGTCCACCATGGCCGCGGCCGCCCTCCCCCCCGCACGGCCGTGCTGGAGGCGGATCAGGACGGCGTGCCCAGGCGGCAGCGCGCGCCGCTCAGCCGCGGGTTACGAGCAGGGCCCTCCGTGGCGGCCCCAAGCAGCGCCCCCTGGCCCGGCTGCCTCGCCCCGCTGCCCATGGCCGGGCGCGAGCTGGAGCCGCCCCCTTCTCGTTGCGGCGGCAGGAGGAGGAGGAGAGGAGGAGGAGGAAGGCGGCCCAGAACAAAGAGGTGGCCGGCAAGGAAGCGAGGCGAGTGCGCCGGCCGGCCCGCTCCTGCCGCCTGCGCCCCGCCGCTCGCTTCGCCGGCCCCCGACAGCTCGGCTGAGGCGGCCCGGTTAGCCAATGCTGCCGGCGGCGCTTGCCGGCTCAAGACGCTGCTCCGGCTCCGTTACGCTGCGCCGCGGCTGCCCATCGCTGGCTGGCCCCGCGCTCTCCCCAGGGCGGTGCACGAACGGGGAGGAGAAAGGGCGGAGCGGCCTCCGGGGCGGGCCCACTGAGGGCGGCGGCGGCGGCGGCGGGTGCCCGGCTTGGCCGACTGCCCTAACGCCGGAAGGACCGTACCTGGGCGGCGCGTGCGCCTGTGAGGCTCCGTCGCGCTCTGCGCCGGCGCCGCCCTTTCGCCTGAGACGGGCCTGGTGCGGGAGAGCCGCGCGGCCGCCGCCTCACTCGGCCGGATCCGTCGCGGGCGCTTCGTCCGCGTAAGCGGCGCGGGCCGCGGCGCTCGCTGCCTGGCCCCGGGAGGGACCGGCCTCTCGGCTGCCGGTGAGCCCGCGCGCCCGCTGCTGCCCTTGCTCGCCGGAGCGCGCCGGCCTGCGTTCACGCGACCCGGAGGCTTTTCCGAACTTGGCCACGCAGCGCGGCGGCCCGGAGCCCTTCCTCTGCGGAAACCCCGCGAGCGGCCCGGCCGTCCATTGGCGCCCGCCGCGCTCCCGGTGCTCTGCCCTTCGACCCTGGCCAGACTGCCAGGGCGCTGCTAAACGAAGCAGCCGGGGAATCGGCCCAGGAAGCCCGCTGCAGGATCGGAGGGCTTGGGTGCGGATCCCGCTCGGCTCGAAGCCTCCGGGAGCGTCGTGGTAACACGTGGTGAAAGGAGAACCGCGCGCGCCGCTTCGCCCCCGGCACACCGGCCGCCCTCCCTCGCGCCGGGCTCTGCGCCGCCGAGCGGCGAGGGGTCTCCGGCAGCCTCAGCACGGGGCGCCCCCTCCTGCTGGCGGGTGGGCGGGGAGGCGTGATCCGACGCATCTGCTGGGGCGTTGGGCAGCCCCCCGAGCACGGCCAGCCCCTGGAAGGCGCCGCGGGGGACCAGCCCGGCCCCTGTCCGAGCATCTGAGCGGAGGAAGTGCTCGGCGGGCCGCGCGCCCAGGACACGCGCCGCGGCGCAGGCAGGGGCGAGTTCGCGGAGGAGCGGCCGGGCTGGACCAGCCGAGGCCCCGTGGTCCGTTCGCACCGTGGCAGAGCTGCTGCCCGCAGGGTGCCCTGGCAGGAGCCCCACCTGCCCCACCGCGGCCTTCGGAGCGGGCGACACCGTGGCCGCTGAGGGAGGGAGCACAAAGCCCTTCTCCCGGAATGTGACCAGCCCCCCTTAGAGGCATCTGGATCGGTGGCCACCGCTGTTCCCAGCGGCAGAATTGCAGTGCCTGCGGAGGAGTCCTCTTTTATCTGTCCTGACTCTTGCCTTGCAAAGCTTCATGCGATGACCCCACCGGGTGGAGTATTCTCCACACCACCACGTAACTCCTTACGGCGCTCTCACCTGCCTTTTTCTAAACATCCCTGTCACAGCTGTTCCTCACAGGTGAGGTGCAACCCCCTGAGCATTTCGATTGTCCTCCTCTGCACTTGTCCTAAGCCAATTGGCCGTTTTCAAGTCAGGCAAACACAACTGCACACACTGTGCTAAGTGCAGCCACAATTTGTATGCAGGGAGTGTGACCTTGGCAGTTCTATTTTCAGTTCCCTTCCTAATAGCGTCTAACGCAGAGTTTGCCTTTTTCACGGAGGCTGTGCACTGGGTTGCTCTCCACAACACCCAAGGGAGCCTCAGCTATGGGGGGGGGGAATCAAAAAAATAAACAAACTCGAAAGTGGGCGTCTTTCCCTCTGCACGCATTGCCTTGCATGGGCCACCTGATGCCCTTCCTCCTGGCTGAGATCTCGTCGGGGCTCTTCACAATCCCTTTTGATTTAAACCTTCCTAAACAGCTTGGTGTCATCAGCAAACTTTCCCACTTCACTTCTTGCTCTTAATTCCTTATCATTTACGTACAGGTTGAAAGTCTCTGCTGCAAGACCTCGCCAGTTGCACCTCTCAGTTGGCATTCCTGCTCTTGCTTCCTGTTCGTTAACCAGTTGGTGGTGCATAAGAGCCCCTGCTTATTCCAGACTCCCAGTTTGCTCCAGAGCCTTTGGTGAGGGGCTCTGTCAAAAGCCTTTTGGAAGTCCAGGCAAACAATGTCTCCTGGATCGCCCATCCACATGCTGGTGGCCACCCTCAACTCCAGCAGGTTAGAGACAGGTGCCCATCAGGGGGGGTGCAGCAGGAAGGGCAGGTGGGTGGGGCCACTGGTGGGAGTAGCTGGCACTGGTGCTTGGCCCCCTCTGGGCATGTATGCACCAGCCTGAAGCAAGCGGAGGGTGAGTCACACCTCTTGTTGAGGGGCTAACGGGAGCCCATGAGGGCATTCAGTGCATGCCTCCTCTTGCTGGGGGACCGAGGCCTGGAACCAGTGTGGCGAAGTGGTTAAGAGCTGGGACTGGGACTCGGACGACCTGGGTTCTAGTCCCCGCTCGGCCATGGAGCCCACTGGGTGACTTTGGGCCAGTCGCAGACTCTCAGCCCAACCTACCTCACAGGGTTGTTGTTGTGGGGATAAGATGGAGGAGGAGAATGATGTGAGCTGCCTTGAGCCCTTTGTAGGAAAAAGGCAGGATATAAATCGAATAAATAAATAAACCATTTAGTGGGTCTAGCTGCTGGCTTCTGGGACCCCACACACCTGGAGTTGACCTGGCTTTCTGGACTGAGTTCATCCAGCCATCTGCCTGCGTGTTAATGAGACCCTCCCCATGAAAGGGAAGGTCCTCAATGTGGGGCCGCTTCTCCTGGGGGAGGTTGGCTGAACAGAGCCGGGCATGTCTGGGAATGGCCACAGTGCCCGCCATGGCCTTCCTGCCGCAGTCCAAGTGGAGCCACGGCGATCCGGTGCTGGGCAAGTCTGGATGCCTCGGTCTGGAGGAGGCAGACACATCCTGAAGTCACCCAGCAAGTTCTCACACGTGGTGCTGATTTTGTCCCGTGGAGCAAACAGAATCGGGCCATGACGGTTTGGCAGTTTGAGACTTTCCATTCCAGGGATGAGGTGGTGCGCAACCGCCTTGCCAAGCCGTCCAGTCAGCCCCTGCGACTGCCCAGTGCTGAGGGCGCCTGCTGTGATGCTCCCTGCACTGACGTGGGAATCCTGGAGTTGGGCTTTGGGTGCCGGAATGGAAATGGGACACAGAAACAGAGGAGCCAGAAGAGGCCTCCTGGGCTGTCTAGTCTGACCCCCGGCTCCAGCCGGCTCCACCCATGACATGCCCACCATGTGCACGTCCCGCCTATCCTTGGAACACCCTCACCAATGGGGCCTCAACCACCTCCCGGGGAAGCCCATGCCAAACCCTACCGGTTCAAACTGTCAGGAAGTACTTCCTGGCATCCAAAGTGAACTGTGGTTCCTTGAGCTTTGCTCCGTTGGAGCGCACCCTGACCTCCTCTGCAGGGGAGAACAGGTCTACCCACCTCCAGTGACATCTACCTACATACCTGTATGTCGCCCTCTCACATACCTCCGTATGTTGCCAACAGGTCCCCTCTGAGCCTCCTCTTCTCCAGGCTGAAGAGACCCAGTTCCCTCGGTCTCGCCTCATACGGCATCCCCTGCAAACCGGCCACCAATCTTGTGGCCCTGTGCTGCACTGACTCTAACCTGGCTATATCCCTCCTGTAATGAGGGGCCCAAAACTGAGCACAAAACTCCAGTTGCGGGCGCACCGGTGTCATATAGAGTGGTAGTAATGCCTCTCGATCTAGAAGCCACACTTCTGGCTATGCAACCAAGGGTGGCTTTCGCCCTCTTGACCACCACATCACACTGCTGACTCATGTTTAGCCTGCAGTCTACCAGCACCCCGAGGTCCCTTTCACAAGTGCTGCTCTCCAGCCACTTGTCCCCTATCTTGTATGTATGACCATTCCTATGCCCCAAGTGCAAGACCTTGCACATATTTGCACTGAATGCAATCTTCTTGTCCCCCACCTACTTCCATAGTCTGTCCAGATCCTTTTGGATGTGGAGTACCTGCTCCTCAGTTGTGGCCACTGCTCCAGTTTTAGTATTTTCTGCGAATTTGATCAGCAGACTGGTCACCCCTTCTTCCATGTCATTGATGAAAAGATTAAACAGGATCAGCCCCAGGACAGAGCCCTGGGGGACCCCGCTTGTCACTGGCCGCCATCCCTATGATTCCCCACTAATGATTACCCTCTGCTTTCGGTCAGTCAACCATGCCCTAATGCACCAGACAGTGCTTTGGTGTATCCCAAAACTCCTCAGTTTCTCCACCAGGATATCATGGGGCACTTTGTCAAAGGCCTTGCTGAAATCCAGGTAAACCACATCCACTGCATCCCCTCCATCTAGCCATCTCGAAACCTTATCATAGAATTCCACAAGGTTCGTCTGGCAGGACCTGTTTTTGTGAAAACCGTGTTGCGTGGCCGCCAGCCTCCCTTCCCTATCTAGGGACTCCAGAGAGTTTCCTATTATGAGCCTTTCCATTGTCTTTCCTAGAATTGACATCAGGATAACCGGTCTGTAATTCCCCATGTCGCTCTACTACCCTTTTCGAAAACTGAAAGGGATAGGAAGAATCCACAGCTCCCAGGATGCTGCCGCCAGCCATGCCATCCAAGCCATGCTGTGGAGCCACGGGCAGCGCGGAGTGGGGCACAAGCCAAGGATTTGCCTCTGACCCCCAATAGCAGGATGGCAGAGACCTTCCTTCCTGCTCACACTGGCTGCCAATGCCCCATGTGGCAGGAAGACTTCCACAAGAGAAACCAGCAGGAATTCTCTCTTGAAGAAGAGTTCCCTTATTCAACACACACAAGTAAAACCCTAGGAATGAGGCGTTTAAATCTGTTCAAGAAATTACAAACAAATGAGAGGGTGGGGTGGTGATTATCCAGCCAATTTTTCCAGTCATTCCATGCAGTCACCAAGGCATTTATCAGCGACACCGTGAGTTGCATTCAAAGGCCCGTGTGTGTTCCAGCTCGAAGTATGATGGTTTTAAATGCATTTTTAGTCTCACATTTTAAACAAGGGAAGGACTTCTTCACGCAGCACATAGTTCAGCTGCAGGCTCCGCTGCCACGGGAAATGGTGCTGGCCGCCAGTCTGGACGGCCTCAGAACGGGACCGGACGGACTCGCGAGGGAGGGAGGAGGCCATCCGGGGCGGGCAGCCTTGCGGGCTCGGTGCTTCCTCCCTGCCCAGAGGCGGCCTCCTGCGGCACCCGTTGCGCGGCCTCGCACCGTCCTGCCGGAGGGGTCCTGTGGGCAGCGGGTCCGCCACCGTGCGCACGGACCGCCGGCCTGATCCGGCCTGGCTGCCCTCATGTTCTCGGGGACTTTTAAAATCAGGTATTCATGAAGCTGCTACAAAGAATACTGATAGGACAGGGCTTTTGCAGAGGCAATAGAACATTCATGGTACTGAACAGAATAATTTTCTTCTATTACTCTGGGAGGAAGAGAAAAAAGAATCCCTTCAGAGCCACGTAATGTGCATTGTTGGGGGTCCCAGTACAAAGCTCCAAATCTTACCAGGATGTGAGAGCTGCCCAGCCGGACTTGAGTAAGGTCAGGGAGCCTCTGCTCAGCTGCCCCAGGTCCTCCGTGGCCAGCCTTCGGACGCTGAGGGAAGTGCGCAAGGCGAGTGTGCACGAGTTTGAGGCCCGCCCTCGCACACCTCACCCGCCTCGCCGGAGGTGACTCTGCCCAGCTGCAAGCAGGTCCCATGTCAGGAGCACACGAAAGTGCTCCAGCTGTGCATTCGCTCCGCAGGAAACAAACCGCTTGCCTGAGGAGCTCCAGCACACAAGAACCCAGGCATGTGGCAGCATCCATCCAAGTAATGCCAGACAGCACTGCACTGAGGCAGAAAGAACACACATCACTAGTGCAACCTGTTTTTAAATCCCTGTTTGGTGAGAAGAGCAGGATACCATTTTTTAAGTTAGCTGCTTTAAAACAGGAGCAGAGAAGGCCGGGGAGCTTTTGCTACACGCTCCTGAGGGAGCCATCTGATGGTTGTTCAGGATTTGAGCAGCAAACATTTGTTTTTCTATTTACAAATCCAACAATGCCCCGAGAGCCTTTGCCAGGAAGGTGGCATGGAAAGCAATGCATGGAATAACAACTCCAATAGAATTGAATTGAATTAGCATATAACAAACTAAGATATTTTCTTGAATATTTTACAGGACAAGGTCAAGTCAGAAGATGTAGCCATTCACAGATGAATTAATTTCATTCAGTTGAGTCCTCTGTGATGGCCCTTCGATTATTTCAATGGGGCTCTCGCAATCCTTGCCCTCGTCCGCCCCATCTTCTCTTCCCCAGGATGCACACACTTCAGCATTCTCCTAGGACAGGGATGGTGAACCTTTTAGAGACTGAGTGCCCAAACTGCAACCCAAAACCCACTGATTTACTGCAAAGTGCCAATACTGCAATAAAACCTGAATACTGGGGTTTTAGTTTAGAAAAAACAACTCACAGCCAGTCCAAGCAAGTATATATATATATCCTTGGCAGTGCACTGACTGGCCATGCGAAAGCTCGGATGAATCGTGGCCGAGTCGTGGCTTGTGACGTCATCGCCTGGCGCCACCACTTCGAGCATGCGCGTGGCCCCTATGTGCGCTGTTATCCGACGCTCGGCTGCTGGGGCGATGCCGGGGCGACGGATCACAGCACCAGCCAGCCATCCTTGTTGGGAGGGGGAAAGGGTCACTCGACCGATGTTCTCAACAGTAGCCACTGTGTTTCAGGCAGCCGGTGTGTGGAGCTGAAAGTCCCATGACTCCTGAGGGGTGATGGGAGCTACAGTCTAACCCATGTCGGGATGGCTAAACTGCCGAGCACCCAGCGTGCACCGATGCTGTGCAGAAAAGCCCCTTCTTCTCCCTCTTGGCCCCGTGAGCTCTTTGGAGAGCTGTCTCCCTCCTGCCGCCGCCTGTCTCTGGCCTGCACAGAGAGCCAGCACGCCCAGTTTCCAAGAACGCTGCAGGCTGCATCTTGTGCAAACTAACCTGGACGGACTCTGCCGTTAGCTTCCTTTCGGAGGACAGTAGGAATCTCAATCTGTGGCCCATGCTGAAACTTCGGGAGGAGCTGGCCTGTCCCCGTGAGCCCCAGGCACACGGCTGGGCCTGCCGGGCCACTGAGCAAGGGCAAGGGCAGCCTCCGGAGAGCTGTTCCTGCCCTCCGGAAGCGCCTGCGGAGGAAGATCTGCACTGACTTCCTCCAGATGAAGCGGCCTAGAAAGGCTCGCCTGCACCCCGCCTGCTCCACCTCTGCTCACACCCACATGCCCCCGTCTCCTTCCAGAGGGAGCGGCTGCTGTTCCTGGCGACCAGAGTAACGTGTAGAGTAGGGGAGAGTTCGGCAGAGGAAAGCTGAGGGATCCCCGCAGCAGCCTTCTGATAGGCACCCACCCTGGTGCCTATCAGATGGGCCAGACTGCAACTCCCATCATTCCAGCCAGCAAGGCCCACAGGGGTTGCCATCTTTGCACCTGGAGAACTCCAGGTGGGGAAGGATGGCTGCACAAGTCGGGAGTTGGGAGAGCCCTGCCGGCATCCGAGGGCGACAGAAAGCGCAGCGATTTCCCTTCTCCGAACGCCAGCCTCTCCCAAGAGCAGAAGTGACATCATTTGTGACTGTTCTCGACTAGTTCTGATTTCCAAGTTTCCCCAACCCACTTCCTCATTTGATCTTAACTGGTGCAGCTTTGATTAGATTTGGTTAATCAGTTGAGCTGATCAGTGAGACTTGGTTAAACAGCTGAAAGCTCAGTGGCTTCTGAAGGTTAAGAAAAGGTTTCCCATCACTCTCCTCATGAACTGAGCAGGCTCAGTTCAGGCTGAACTGCCTACACTACCACGAAGTGACAGGGAGTCCTACCAGCAGCACAGCTTTAATAGAGGCATCATCTTGGAGCTCAAGGCTTCCAACTATGCAGTTTTAAAATAAACCCTTCCCTCCGAGGAGTTAAATTTCACCCCAGCTAAGAGTGGCTGGAAGCTGGAAGAGAAGGCTCCAGCTGGATTTTCCCCTCCCAGAATGCCACTGTACGCACAGAAGCACCGGCAACCTGGCCATTCATGTCCCTGGATGCCCTGGGCAAGACTGGGTTGCAAACGTTCCTTCCAGGACAGTCCTCTTGACGGAGCCAAAGCGCACACTTGCAGGCGAGGCTGCGGGATCCTGGACTCCAGCTGAGCCGTCCTGGTCGTCTCCACACATCTCTTTTCTCCTGTGTCACCAGGAAGAGTGGGGCAGGGAGCCACCGTAGGCCTCAGCAAATAATCACCCGTAACGCATCAGTCCTCAGTGAAAAATACATTTAATGCTGTGCGTCACATGAAAGCAAAGCCCTCCTCTGGAAACTGATCTTCACACCTTAGGCCAGACTTTTTCAGCCCAGTGCAGTGCGCATCATTCGCAGCCAGGGAGCAAGGAGTGTTGCAGCCCAGCACTTCTGGGGAGCAGCAGCTGGAGGGCAGCTGAGGGCGGCAGTGCTGGAGTGGGCTCTTCCCACAATTCGGGCCCAAACGAGCTGCCACTCTCACTGGGCACAGCCTATCCCTCACATGGAGCCAGGGTAGCCCAGGAGCGCGGGTTCGTCCTGCTTCCTCGCGCTGACCTCCACCTTGGTAAAAACTTGCAATTAGCCATGGGGAGCACCATCCACGGGCCCAGATGGATTAGCACTTGCACTGGATTCAAATGTCGCACCAAGAAATGTAAAACCCTGGCCTCTTCTGGATGAGCACAGGCTTTCTGCCTCTGTGAAGGAAACGCGTTGCACCTGCTGCAGGCAGGCAGGCAGGCAGAGAGGAGGGCGGCTTGCAGGGCTCTCTTCTTGTTGCCTCCGGGTCTCGGCTCCTCCCTTCTTCCTGAAGCGCTGGCACGGCCCACACGTGCTGGACCAGCAGCCCAACAGCTGGCCGGCCGGCTGGCCATCAGCAGCAGCTGGGGCTGGCCTGGCCATTCGCACCTGCAGCCTCCGAGGAGTTGCCTTCTACTTCTACAACAAGGGGAGAAGGAAGTGACCGGCTTGGTCCAGCAACTGGCAAGCTGTACCGGCAGCATGCAGCCTCCAGGTCGCCTGTTCCCGGCCTCGTGCTGCAGGGGCCAGCGGGAAGGGCCCCGCATGGCGGGCGAGTCAGGCAGGCCACACCAGCAAGGCGTGTGTAGGTCTGTGGTGCGGCCGCACTCTGGGGGACTCGTGCCGCCCCACGCAGCCGATGCGCGCACTCGGAGCACCCCTGTGCTTCTGGCGCGCAGCAGGCAGCCCGACGGGAGGGCTGCTGGGGTGCCGCAGGAGCGTCGAGGGCTCCCCCTCACCGTCAGCCAAGGCACGCAGAATACAGGCTTCACTGGCCATGCCCCACACCATAACATCTTTTAACTAATTCCTTTAGGTGGTGAAGGAAGCGAGGCTCAACATACGAATGTTTCCGGTACCAATCTGGGTCGCACGGCAGTCGCTCTTCTCCAGCTCCAGCAGCACCGACTTCTCGAAGGCCAGGGCAGCAACTCGGCAAAAGAGATCTGTGACGTTTTCTCCTGAGGGGAGGAGGAGTGACGCCTTTTCACTGCAGGGCCATGCGGGCAGGGAGCTGCCCACCACAGCTGCTTCCGGAAGGCAGCACGTGCCTCCGGCAGGCCGGCCAAGAAGGGGCCTCTCACTCCACCTCCCCTCCCACTCCAAGGCGAGGGGCCGACGGAGCAGCTGGGCCTGTGTGCACTGCAGCTCCCAAGCACAGAATGCCGCGTTCTGGCATGGGGCGGCGCACCCTGAAATCACGATGGGTGGAACGGGCAGGCGCCCAGGCCCCGCCGCCTCTGTGGGCCCCACACAGGGCTCTTCAGTGCAGTCAACTAACCTGTCTTGGCCGAGACTGACCAGTACTCTGCATGCATCTCGTTGGCCACCTGAATGGCATCCACTTCTGTCCGCTCGCATTCGGCATCAGACTGAAAGGCAAAGGGGCCCAGGCTGGGTTGCCGCTCACTCCACCAGGGCACGCACCCCTGGCACGGTAGGGGCTTCCCATTTCCTTTGCAAAGGCCAGGTGGGATTTGCAGCGAGGCCCCAAGAGCTGAGACGGCATTTTATGAGGAAGAGGCAGGTGGGCGTGGAAGTGGCAAGGCCGCAGCTCCCAGCCATGACGACTCCAGAGAACCTCGGGGACCGAGACAAAAGCCTGCGCAGCATCGGAGCTGCCCCACTGTTAACACGCAGAAAAGGGTCTCAAATAGCTTTGGGCAGTGGACAGACGCTGAACTTGCAACTGCTGTGGATGCTCTCACAAAATGGCTGTCCTGGCGAGTTTGCCCATTCTCCAACGATGGACCTGGCTGCAGGGTAAAAGGCTTGGAGGTCAAAAGAAAAAGTCAGCAGAGGGAGGGGGCGATTGGTGCACAAAGCCTTCAGCAGGCACTGCTGAGGAGTCCTCAGGCACTGGAGCATTTGGCTGTTTTTAAAATTTATTGACAGGTATTTATAGGCCGCCTATAACTGTTGATTGCTGGCAGCAAAACGGTTCTCCAGCAGGATGCACCTCTGGCTGGAGCCAAGAGGACTCTTCTTGTGCTGGCCTTCCATCTGCCTGAGGCGCCCTGCCTCCCCCTCACCACAGAAGCAAGCGCACCCGGGGGTGGGACCGCCGGCTCCCGGGGAGGCAATGGCGTGTCCCCCCGCAAGATGGCAGGCACGTCACGAGCGGAGCCGGCTGGAGCCAGGGCAAGGCCCAATGGTCCAACTCACTCTGGTTCGGTGCTTCTTCTTCCAAGAGGGGAACGCCACGTCTGGGACAGAGGCCGAGCGCCTCCCCGGCCCTGGGGAGCAGCGGTGCTTCCAGAGGCAGACAGAAAAACCCGCACAGAGTCTCCTTTCCAAAAGAGCCCTTCGCGGCCCAGGTCCCCCGGCAAGGCCAGTTCCTACAGCACCCCTTAAGCGAGGGGCTACTGACGATTCCTGGGTGGCGCTTGGGGGGCTCCAGCTTGTAAGACTTCCTGGGCTGGTCTTGGGCACCGGTGGCCCCGGCTCCTCTACTCCTCCGACAGTACCTGTTCTCAGCCGCTCGCCTGCCCTTGGAACCACAGAATCATCTACTAGTGCAGTTGGAAGGGGCCAGGAATGCCACTGGGTCCAGCCCCCTGCCGTTGCAGGACACCAAGCTGCACCATCCTACTCAGGCGGTGGTCCAGTTCCGCCTGGAATGCCTCCAGTGCGATAGAGCCCCCCACCTCTCCAGGCAGCTGGTTCCACTCTCACATTGCTGACAGTGGGGAAGCCTGAATCTGGGTTGCTGCAGTTTGAATTGATTATTCCGTGTCCT